ACAGAGACTTAAAGAACCCAAGCCCACATGCACCTGTGAATCCATGTATATTCATAGCTGCAGAACAGTTTTCTGATAATGCAACCGTACATGCAGACATACTCTAGTATTTTATCGTAGTAAGGTGGCAGTTCTGGATTCCATGGTGGCCTTGGCAACTGATTTCCCCTACACAGTCCCATCTTGGTTTTACCTACAATTGCTATGTAGAATTCCTGACTATTGCTAAGAATGTGCAGGCCAGTGAGTTTGAGGAACCCTTTCTCAGCTTTGAGACTATTGCACTGTGAAAAACTGATAGACATAGACATGTGATTTCGTCAAGTTGTATTTAAATTCCTTCCTGCCTGCTGGCCGGTAAAAAACAAACAAACAAACAAACAAACAAACAAACAAAACTATACTTCAAGAATTAGAAAGTAAAAAGTGTGTGTGTGTGTGTGTGTGTGTGTGTGTGTGTATGTGTGAAATTTTTGCAGTCAGATGGTAGTCCAGGGATAAACTCAGAGCCCAGGAGTGTCTTTGGTACTGGGACATTGCCACCTGTGCATCCCTTAGCTGTCTTCCAGCAGGCTAGGCTAGTTCAAAGTTAGGGCTTTGGTATAGAAGAGAAAGCCAAGGAGTTTTTTAAAAAAATTATTCACTCATATTTTATGTATGAATGTTCTGAATGTACACCTGCATACCAGAAGAGGGCATCAGATCCCATTATAGATGGTTGTGGGAATTGAACTCAGGACCTCTGGAAGAACAGCCAGTGCTCTCAACTGCTGAGCCATCTCTCCAGCCCCAGGCAAGGACTTCTTAAGAAGTTATTTTATTATTATTATTATTATTATTATTATTATTATTATTATTTATATGGGTGTTTTGCCTGCATGTAATGCTGTGTCCCATGTGCATGCTTGGTGCCTCTGAAGGCCAGAAGAAATAACTTCAGATCCTCTGGTACTGGGGTACTAGGACTCGAACCTGAGTCCTCCAGAACAGCAGCCAGTACTCTTAACTGCTGAGTCATCTCCCCAGGGGCAAGGACTTGAAGCACATTGTCCTTTTCTCTGCTGTGTCTCTGTGTCAGTGGATACAGTTGAGGAGTGGTTTCTTCTAAACCATCCTGCACTTCTTATTCATTCTCCTATCCCACATCTGTGCCTGTGCAAAGCATCCTGGGAGTTTCTGAGTTATGGGGAAGCTTGGGAATTCCCTGGGGAGACAGGAAGGATGAAGCCCTAGCAGCAGGTAGACATACTAGCAAAGTCATGTGGGAGAGGGCTGGCAAGACAGCTCAGTGGGTGAAGGGCTTTGCCATCAAGCCTACCAATCTAAGTTCTGTCTTTGGGACTCAGAGGTTGGAAGGAGAGAACACAAGTTGTCTTCTGCCCAGCACATAAACAAACAAACAAAATTCAAATACCTTTTTCTTTTAAGACAAGGTGGCGCATGCCTTTAATCCTAGCACTCAGGAGGCAGAAGCAGGTGGATCTCTGAGTTCGTGGCCAGCCTGGTCTACAGAGCAAGTTCCAGAGGCCCTGTCTCAGAAAACAAACACAGAAAGATAGAGAAGAGAATTAACACAGCCTATATGTTCAGCGTTGTAGTCTAACTACAAGTGAGGTGGAATATTTTTACTAAACAGCTGGTTCGGAGACAATGCACACTGCCCAGCTCATTCCAGCTCCAGGCATGCCAGGAGGCGGCAACATTTCCTCTGCTACCGAATATGCCAACATGGCAGAGACTAAGCTTACTGTAGGCGCCTCGTATAGCTTAGCCCTTGAACCTTACTTACCCCGTGGATTTTGCTATTCATTTCTTTCCTTGTTGCTTAGTTGTTACACGTTGTAAAAGGATTGTGAGGGAGCGGGAGATTGCAGTGGATAAAATGTACAATTTGAAAGACCAGGCTGTATTTATTTATTTTTGGAGGTCTCAGGGAGGGAACCCAAGGCAATGTGTATGCTATGTGATTTTTTACCACTGAATGACAGCCCAAAACTCTGGTTTTTCTCAGGCACGATCTCAAAATGTACACCAGGCTGGCCTGGAACTTGCAACTCTTCCTACCTCTGTCTAGAGCGTGCAGGCAGTTTTACTTAGCAGCTTTCTTAACCTTGGCTAACATCTGCTTTGTGAGCCATTGCTTCCTTCCTTTCACAGACAAACTTCTGCCGGCGCTCCTCCACGTCGAATGATGATATCACAAGTATCGAAACAGAAGTGTTTGAAATTCTCTCCCCCGCTCTTCTCTTCCCATCCTTGTGTCTTCTCTCTCCTTTTCCCTCTCTTCCTGGGGACCAAACCTGGGGCTTCAAGCAAGCTAAGCATTCACTCTGGCACAGGGCCCCAGCCCTGGCATGATCTCTTACTACAGTGTAGTAGATTTATCAAAAGCAGGAGACAGTGTTTGTCTTGCTTTGCTTTTAATTGCTGTGATAAAAACACCATGACCAAAAGCAACTTGAGGAAAGTGTTTATTTTAGCTTATAGTTGTAGTCCATCATGAAAAGAAGTCAGGGCAGGGACTGAGGCAGAGGCCATGCAGGGGTGCTGATTAATGGCTTGCTCCTCATGTTGCTCACCCTGCTTTCTCACACAGCCCATGACCACTTGCCCAGGGGTGGCACTGCTCACCATTGGCTGGGCCTTCCTATATCTATCCTTAATCAATAAACACCTCACAAACTTGCCTCCAGGCCAGTCTGATGGAGGCACTTCCTTGGTTGAGATTCCCTCTTCCCAAATAACCCTGACATGCATCAAGTCAACAAACAACAAAACAAAGCACCCCGCCATGCACCACCCTCCGCTGGCCCCCCACCCCCCACCCCAGCACAGTGTCACACTGCAGGATTATGAGGTGGTTACTAGAGTCTGGCCTCTTTGGGCCCTTCTATAGATGAGCTCCTCCGCATTTTGTTTTTTCTTTTGGAAAGAATAATGGTTTGAATAGAAATAATGCACTTCATAGCACTGATGTGAGGTCAGAATGAGATGATGCACATAATCCTCTCCTAGCAGTACCCAGCACGTAAGATACACTGTGTCTGTTTAGACAAGTTTCTTCAGTTACTGACAAACATACCTGGCACGAACAGTTTAAGGGAGGACTTCTTTTAATTTGTGGTCTCCCATCTTTGTTTCCCGGCTCGGCTCTGTTGACCTGGGGCCCTGATCTCAGGCGGAGGAGCTTAAGAGTAGGAACATGTGCACCTCGCATCTCACGGGGATAAGAAGCAGAAGGCAGGAAGAGGCCAGGGACAAGATAACTCCAAGGACTGGCTCCTAATGACCTACTTCAACCAGTTAGGCCCCACCTCCTAAAGTTTCCAGCACCTCCCAAAATAGCATACCAGCTGGGGGCCAAGCATCAAATACTAGAGCCTTTCTGAAGGACACTTCTTATCTAAACCAAGCAGTAGCAGCTGCGGGATACTAGGGAAAGAGGCTTGCATTTGGGGGCAGAAAACATGGAAAATTAGGGTCATGAGGGCACACGGTAGAAATGGGAGTCCTTACATGTCAGTAGCTATAGTTAGCCCATCCAGGAAGGCTGCCTATCCCAAGGGAACTTCTGGGTGTCTTCGGACAATAGTTGGAAGATTCGTTGTCGGGCTGCAGGTAGCACTCTTAGGAAAGGCATCCTGAACACCTTACAGTTTGGACAACAAGGAGTACAGGCTGACAAATTATGAAATAAAGGAAGTGGAGGGTGACAAAGCATTTGTCACCAAGCCGGAGGACTGGAGTTGGATCCCCAGGACCCATGGTAGAAGAAGAGAACCGACTCCTAAAAGTTGTCCCCTGACCTAAACGTGTGCACTCCAGCCCCCCACGCCGTCTCCCAAATATTAAGTTTAAAATTGTAAATAGAGTGCAATTGGTCTGAGGCAGTCCTAGCTTTCTGGAGTAAAAGTCTAAAATGGAGCAGACAAGGCCTTCAGTAATGTTTGTAGGATTTCAGCTAGACATGGAAGGTGACCGAGAGCTCGGTGAACCCTGCATAGTTCAGTGGTGTGCTACAGACTTTTAGCCAAGAACAAATTCTTCAGCAGGGCCCGAGGGTCATCAGCTCGGGGGATCTGTGGCTGAAAGGCCAGAATCCTGCACAGTCCAGCAGACCAGTGAAGAATTAACTGAAGCCTAGACGCCTCTGGGAATGCAGACCTTAGTGGGCGCGGTCTACACACCCGGGTAGGAAGAATGCTCTTCCTTAACATATAAAAGGGCTTTGAAAGATTATTCGCCCTGCCTTCCCGTAATAAGAGACTATATACAGTAATATACTATATACAGTAATGTCTGTAAAGGTGTGACTCAGAAGGTATACCCACTTCTAACCAAAGTTCTTAAGATGCCTGGAATTGAACAGACTAATAATCTCGTGCAAGGGATGAGGAAATAAGAGAAAGGCTTCCTAGGCGTCATCCACATCGGATTGGAAAAGGAAATTGAGGCAAGGAGTTGGGTTACCCACTCAAAGTCATACAAATATAGGATTCAATTCTCCGAAGTTTTCTATAGTTTCCCCCCAAATCTGACACTTTTCCATTCTGTCCCATCTGGATGAGATCAGGAAGAAAATTCTAGCTTTGTTTTGTGGCCGCTTCTGAAAGCAACAAACAAGTCCCCTTTAAGGGCGTCCCCCAGTCTCAGGTCTGGCCGGCTTTGATATGCCCCCTGTGTTATCCAGTTGGCCGTTTTGTGTGGCTCCTCGCCCCTTCCAATATTCCCAGCCAATCAGCTCTTTCCTCTCTTACTCCGTTGGGCTTTCGGGACTGTACCATATGGCCCGCTCCGAGGGGGGGGGAAGAGGGAGGCAGTAGTAGCTATGTATTCCTTTACCTTCTGCTTGTGACCCGTGATATTTTGACAGAACCGAGGCTTGAGTGGCAACTTGGTCTCTAAGAACGAGAAACATGAGTGAGCTGCAGGAGCACTAAGCGCGCGCACCCCCGTTCGGGCCGGTGGTCTAGCCTGGAGGACCGCAGCCCCCGCCCTCCCATGTGCCCGCCCCGCCCCGGCGGCGCCGCTCCTGCCGCCGCTGCTGCTGCTGCCGCCGGGCCGGACGCTGCGGGCTAGCGCGCGGGGGCTGCGGCTGCGTGTCCCGGCGCGCGGCTGGGTGGCCCGGCCGGCCACGAGGATACAGCAGCATGAAGCAGAGGTGAGCGCCGCGATCCTGGGGAGCATCCGCGTCCCGCCCACGCTGCGCCTCGGTGTGCCTGGGATCGGCGGCTGGCCCACGGGCGGCTTTGGCTCCGGTGGCCGCGTCTCCCCGATGCGTGGCTGGGACGTCCGTCTCGGGCAGCCCCGGGGCCCCGGCCCCCCTTGTGCCTGGAGCCTCCCTCTGGCCGACTCGTGCGTCCGGAGCGCTGGCGGAGCTGGCGAGGAAGCCCTTCTGCGCTTCCCGCGCTGCCGGGCCAGTGTCCGGGTCCCTGACCTCCAGGAATCGGGTGGTAGGTCAGGTCGCTCCCTGGGGGGGGGGGGGGAACTCAAGTGAGCCTACTCAATAGTAGGAGCGGGACTGAGCGGCTGGGACTGGGTGTGTCCAAGGTGGTTTTGTAGGGGCGAAGACCCAGCCTGGGCAGTGGAACTGCGCTCCCCGATGTCTCTAGTCTGGAGCCCAGCAGGCGCAGTGTGTAGGTTGCCGAGGTCGTTATGGCAGGTGGCCATGAGGGAACTCTTGACATTTCCGTCTGGTGGTAGACTGAGTGGGGTGCATGCAGCCACCGAAGCCTCTTATCTCAGCGCTGCCCCCTTTCCTAACTGCCTTACAAAGTGACAACACTGTTGGAGGTCCCCGTGGCAAACTAGACATCCCTCGCTTAAGAATAACCTTGGAGAGCCCTACCCAGATATGCGTTTGTCTTGTGTTCTCAGACAGCCAGCCGGCGTGATGGCCGATTGCAGGTTTTGGCGTCTCTGCTTGGCAGGGATCGCATTATCCAGCTCTTTCACAATTGTTGCTGGGAAGAGGGGTTCCTTCAGGCGCCGCAGCACAATTGGGGTCGTGGGTCAGCCTTGTTGTATCTTGGCTGATTTTTCTCCCGACTCTGGAGACAGAAAGTTATTTCCAAGAATGCACACCACATCCGTATTACTTTGATTTTAGTGCTTAAGTCAGACATTAATTATGGCTTGTGTGGAATGGATTAATGCAGAGCAACGGAGATCATTACAGACAGTGGCATCTGTTTATTTAAAGTGTGCTGTGGGTGGGGAGAATAGATTTAAATACCAGGACATCAGTGTGTGTTTGGCCCCATTTGACAATTTGCCACATGCACAATCACTTGGGATGATGGTGAGAGTGAGATTTTTATGATGAGAAAGACATCTTACAGAATGCTGCTGCCAGCAGGAATAAGTTCACTCATGACCCGGCCACATAGGATGCTGTTCATTGTGGCTGCCTTTTCTGAGCACGTCTCCCAAGGGCCTTTAAGAGGATATCATAAATTTCATACTTGATCGCCACATGCACTCAAGTCAGTTATTTTAGCCTTACAGCGAGTGAGCTTTTCTTACGCTCTAGGTTGTAAACGTCTTAAAAGTGTCTTTTAGTGGTGTCTGCTATGTAGTGTGAAAGAGTTGATTTCAGAATCAAAGCTAACCCGGTGTCTGGTGGGTGGTTCCGCGGAGAATCATTCAGAACTTGCACCTGGTTCCTCAGCTAGAGCTCTTTTCTGTGTTTAGGGTAGCACCAGCTTTTGAGAAGTCTAAAGCTTGACCGGCAACCTGTTGGCGCTACCAGGATGTTTGTATCCTGTGGTTTCTAGGTGTGGTAGAGAAAATAATGTAGGGAAAGTGCTCTGCGCAGTGCTGAGGACATAGTAGGTGCTTTTTGCACAGTGCTGACAGTACGTGGTAGGTGCTCAGTAAGTCCTTTTTGATTGGAAGACCTGTCTGGGGGTGGAGTTGGGCCTCAAGCCCTCCTCTCCCTGAACTGGAGATCAGCTCCTCCCCCTCCCTCTCCCACATCTTGCTTTCTAGACATTTTAATAGGGGGTTGTAAGTGAAACACTTCTGGACTAGGAGAAATTAAAGAAAACAGGTTTTCCATCGTCTCATGCTTTTTGTTGTTGTTATAGTTGGTTGGTTGTTTTCTTTAGAGACAGGATCTTCCTGTATATTCCAGTCTGGCCTTAACTTGCTAAGTAACCAAGGTTGGCTCCTCACTCTCCAACCTTCTTCCTGAGCTTACTCAGTGCTGGGATTGCCACTACAACTGACCCTCATGTGCTTTCCTCCCTCCCTCCCTTCTTCCCTCCCTCCCTCCTTCCCTCCCTCCCATGTATAGCCTGGGCTAGCCTTGAACTCCTTTTACAGCTAAGGATGACCTGCCTGATGTGCTTTGTGACAAGGGAGCTCCTGATCCACCTGCCTCTGCTTCATGAATACAGAGATGACATGTGTGACCCAGCACACCCAGCAGTATGCTGCATTCTAAATATTCATTCTTATTTACAGATGTGTATGTGTGTGTGTCAGTGTGTGCCACATGTATTCAGGTGCCCTTGGAGGCCAGAAGAGGGAGCTGGAGTTACAGCTGCTTTACGTGGGTTCTGGGAGCCGAACTTTAGTCTTCTGGAAGAGCGGTGATGTTCTTATCCACAGAGCTGTCTCTGCAGATCCAGGGTTGCATTGTGAAAGAAAGGATGGCACTTGCCCTAGCAGAGTTCTTAACTACCACTCAGCAAGCGACTTGGCCCTTTCTTTGATCTGTTCTGGAACTCGCTTTGTAGACTATGCTGGCCTGGAACTCACAGAGATCAACCTGACTCTGACTCCTGAGTGTTGATTACTCTTGTAGGTGAGGATTTTACTTGATGGATTGTAGAACTAGAATCATTATTTAATGTTTCCAGACGGTGACATCTGAGAAGTGGCCAGGACAGCTGAAGCTGGACCAGCAGGCAGGAGTAGCTTTTGTGGACTCTGTTCTGGGCTCGGCAGCGAGCCACCGTTTGCCTCCTCCCTTCTTGCAACTGGTCCTATGAGCAGATTAAAAGGCTATCAGAGCTAATGTACTTGGGAAAGTAGGAACCATCATTGGTTTGTTTATGTTGCATGATATTGGGCGTGACGGTTTTTACAGAAGCCAGACTCTGGGTTCAGTTACTGCCATTTCTTTGAAGAGGTGAGCTGCTTTTTTCCTCACCAGCTGATCCTCTCTGGAGGCAGGTGCTTGGGCCTCACTCAGCGAGGCAAGTGCTCTACCACTGAGCCACACGCCCAGCCCCATGCCGTTGATTCTTACTTGACTGTAATGTAGTCAGATTATAGTGCAGTGTTTTCCCAATTCATAAATGAAGACATGGAAGTGATGTGATTGGCTCTAAGTACAAATCCATTGATCCTTGAGCTGAATTTTTTTTGTGTTATATTCCATTGATGCCTCTGAAGGGAGACACGCCCACACCCCTCTCGTTTCAGGTTCTGAAAGGTGTATAGCAGCCCATTGTCCTTTTCTGATTACTGGTAAGCAATGGCATTGCTCTTCGATTGCTAGTCAGCGCCTTGCTAGGTGCACACCAGCTGTTTACTCCTCATAGCTGTATAAACTTACTCTAGGTATTCCCCGTTTCATAGACGACAAACTAGGGCGGGATTGGTGAGATCCCAGGGCAAGGACGTGACAGAAAGCCCTGGCTGAAAGCGAGGCTGGGGTTAGCCTAGGACTTACTCTTCGGAGTATCATCCTAGCCCCATGCTACAGCGGTGACTAATGGGCAGATTTTGGGGTTCTGATGCCCGTTACTCTCTCCATTCCACCTCCACTTTCTGCAGTGGACAGTCATTACTTTAGGCGGAAAACTCAGAACTGAAAAAGACATTCTTATTTGGAGAGCGTGAAGTATTTGATAAAAGCAGATGGGACAATTAGGACCAAAGAGAATGGACATGGTTCGGGGGTGGGGAAGTGTTCCTCGGACCCGCAGCCGTCCGTCCCCAGTCTGAGGCCCTGTCACCTTTCCCTGGTTGGAACTGTAGCATCGGAGACCCGGCGGCGCTTTTGCTAAGGTCTGCAGAAGGGCAGGTTCTCCTTTACTGCTTTCGCTGGGTGGGAAGCTGAACACACACAGCACATTATCTAGTTAAGTGGGAATTGGAGGGGACTTTGTTTGGAAATTTACGTAAGGTCACTGAGTGGACTTTCCCTCTTCTTCCAGTCAACCCCTCCTTCATCTTTGGCTCCATTTTTCAGAGTCCTCTCATGCACAGGGATTGGGCGGGGTGGATGTCACATACCTTGGGCACTTAGATACAGAATGACATTGCTGTTCCAGTGAGGCTCAGTCATACGTGACCAGCTGTTTTCTTAAGGTTGGTTCAGCTGTCTGAAGGCATGCAGATGTGACTACGGAGGACAGGAAGGCAGTTACTTTAGCCCTGCTATTGAAAGACACATCTCCATTGGCTAGTTAGATTTGCACAAGAGGGTGGCAGACTGCTGTATCTTAAAACAAAACAAAAACCCCAAAACCAAGGGTGTTAGTAGCACTTACCTTTAATCCCAGCACTCAGGGGGCAGAGGTAGGGGAATCTCTGTGAGTTTGAGGCCAGCCTGGTCTACAGAGCGAGTTCCAGGGCAGCATGGCTACATAGAGAAACGGTCTTGAAAAACAAAACAACAACAAAGGGGTGGTGGGGTGGGGGAAGGGATCATCAGAGTAAAGATGGGAGAAAGGGCTGTGAGCTTTACCTCAGCGAAGGCTGGGGCACTGGAAACTTCTGCTGAGCAGGAAGAGCCCTGTAGTGCCTGGCTCTGGGGTTGAGACTGGCACTGAAGTTGAGGGAGGGCTGGTGGCCAGCAGAGGGGGCTTTTTGCGCTGGGAGGGTCTACAGGTGCTGTTACACTGTGTATGCAGTGAAAGATTCACTCTGGTGAACTCTGGGAAGGGGACAACATGGCCAGTGGCTAACCAGTCTCTGCCATTGACTTTTCCTTACTGCTTTAAAATAGATGTTCAGGGCTGTGGGCGTGGCCCTGTGGTAGAACACTTGAACGCCAGCACCATTTAAATTGACAAAGTTCTGCTTTGTTTGATCCACCCTGGCTTCTCTTTTTTGCCTCTGCCTCTGGAGCCTGGGAGAGCTCTCTACCTTGGGAATCTAAGGAAAAGAGGGAGGGGACAATACTCCCTCCCCCTCCCTCCTAGC